GTCAGACGTGTGCGAAAATATATAATACGTACCATTGTGACGATGTTTTAGACGATAGTCACCTTATATCCGGGTGTCCATAGGATTCTGCGACAATGGTGTATGATTGATGCTATCCAAACGCCACGGTAAAGACTCCAATGTATCACGTCAGCTTGCAGCCGCTATTGCCCTCGTTGCTCACGGAACACACCACCTGCCCCGCCTCCCTACGGCCCTTCCACCGTCTTTTTGGCCATCGAGACGTCTCCTGGCGATATTAGATGAGGTGATTCCGTTCATCTCGATAGGTTGATGTGCAATTTGTAGTATCAATGTTAATTCCGCGAATCTGCTTGATGTTGCGAAGATGAATTTCACGACCAAATATAAGTGCTGGAATATATAGTATGCGTACTACTGCTCAGTACGTCAACATCCTGGCAGTAATACTTCTGCATATTATTCCTCTCCATATTCCCCTGGTACGTTTCTTATGTTCGACCAAACCACGGCTTTGTGGGTAATAGGGGGTTGTTAGTTTACCTAATGCTCAGAAGCGAACATCATCCAGTAGTTGGTCTTCGAAGGCGTTGGTCCGAGTAGATACTGTCGGGAAATTCACTAGTTGAATGCTACGGTCACGGGAGCTGCTTCCTATTAACGGATTGCAATAGCTTCGCACCCCAGTAAAGTAACCCATCATCAACAGCAGATAGAGATTTCCAGCAGCTGAAAGCCAGAGAACCCACTAATCTACTGTTTGCTTTTTCGCTGGTAGCGGTTATAAAGGTGCTCGCAGATATCGTGTTCCACACCCAATCACTGTACATACCTCGCATTGTCAATAAAGCCACACCTACTCAAGGTCCTGACCATCAGTTTATTTGTTGCATAGCTGCTCCTGTTTTACGTTAGTCATCTTACTAGACTTGCATGCACTTTACCAGCAACGGCACTATTGTTCGCGGTGTAATCCATTTTGATCAGTGCGTATTATGTATAACTAGCACTCCAATCATCATCAATCTGTCCCATTTATTTAAGAAAGCTCACTCCTCAGCTTTTCGTTCGTTTATTTCCACCATTGACGGTTTTGACGTTTTCTCTGCATCGATTGTAGGTGTTTCTAGTCTAACGGTCATTGGATTTTTCGTTGTGGTTGGGACATGCGTTGTGCATGTCACCAGATAGGTTGCCACAGCGAGCGATGTTCGCCGAGGCAGGTAATGGGTGGAAAAAAGCCAAGGGTGGTCAATCTAAGATCTGGCTTGAGTGTATGAAAATCCTGACGAGGGGACTGGGTCACATAGGTCCCGTTAGGCTCCCTGGCTGGGGACCCCGAGATCATGGTCACCGATGGTTAGACACAGAGTGATATGGCTGAGTGTCGCAAACAGTGGTGTTCGTGCATCCACTTATGATTATCCTAACACCGCTCTGTATGAATTCTCCATCTTCCGCTTGAATTCGCCTTCAACATGCCAATCTTCATTCTGTTCTTTTATCCAAATGGGGCACCGAAAGACAGCAACCAAAACCGGCGCACAAAAGTGCATGGTTAATGGTTGTAAAAGCTGGAACTGAGAATTCATTGATGTCACCAAAAACCACAACACATAGAAAGCTTCCGTTTGAGGTCTCCATGAGATCAACTCATTCTCTATTAGCACACACTCATCCAAAAGTAAAATGTAAAGCGTAAGTTACGCTATAGGGATATCGGGTGACCGAGGTTAAGCAATGAGCTGTATTTCAAATGGAATAAATGTAAAAGACAAAAGTATTTGTGGAGCATGGGATTTCGACAGTCAAACCGCACAGCATTTGAGCCGCTGACCTGTATTCTGGTTTATTACTCTCAGTGTCGCTAACCAATGACATTCCTCATCGCTTGGGTCCCAACCTGAAGGTGAGCTGGACCAACCGAAACCAAAGCTGAAGCTAGCTTCTTCATACCTCTACGCCATGCTATGATCCGACCGCCGTGGCGCTTCTTTCATTCTTAACCAGCAAATGCAAAGTTTCAGGGAAAGGAGACGATGGGCAGACATGCGCAAAACGTGACTAAGCCATCAGAGCCCATCATGATGAGACTGCGCCTTGACGTCGTGTGATGGCTTGTGCACCTCTGTGACCCAACGAGTTACACAGGATGGCTTTTGCTAAGCCGAAGATCTAATCGTGCTTGAAAGATCAGAGAGTCAAGGTCAGACAAAGTTCAGTTTCCTGGTCCTCCAGGTTGAGGGTTCAGCTCGAATAGGCTTCTCAGTCGTTGAAAGTGATGGAGTAATTTATCCAAATAAAGGAGCCTCCACCCCGCTGCGTAGTGGTTAGGTTCTTGTCAGAATCAAAGGCTTTGGTTGGGAACTCCAATCTCTCTCTCGCTGAGCAGTTGGCACCCTAGTAGTACCCATCCATAAAGCTCCAAAAAGTACACATAAAAAATAATTCCATAATGCATCAATCGTCGCTAGGGATAATCAGGACTGCGCTGTCCATTGCATCAAGCGGGATGGGTAGTGATAAGTAGACTACAGCTCAGACATCCCAACCTTCGTTTATTTCTCTCTTCTATACTCAACCCTCATCCTTGGCCCATTCTTTGAACCCAGAACATCCCACCAAGCAGCTTGTTTGCCACTCGTCAAAGGTTGTTCCTAAATAGCATAGTAAGTAGTTAACCACTAAACAATTTACATATTCTGAAGCCTCGTCAACTTTTCAACGTGAGGAGCTGATGCAAGTAGGTCAAC